AACCACTATCAATGCCATATTAATCATACTGTGACACTTACCACCCCGCATACTCTATTACCTACACCATTCGTAATAACGTAATAACAACTATGATAACCACTATCAATGCCATATTAATCATACTGTGACACTTACCACCCCCCTGTACTATGAAAATAACAAGAAATAAGAGCAAAACGCACGTCAATCGCACTCTGCTGATAGTCACTGCCCTGGATATCCCCATTGCAACGCCAGTCATTCGTGTCACCCGCTCCGTACGGCACCGCTGGGAATTGCTCGCGTCCGGGTGTTGAATCGAAGTACGAACCGTTCCACGACGAAACGCCGTTCTCACCAAACTTCATGTTTGCACCTGTCATATGGTTTAATACCGCGTCCACAATGATTCTGAAAAATAACACATCAGTGAACACGTGAAGGGCACGTGAATGATCACGTGAAGAGCACGTGAATTCACTCACCTCACACCGACTCTGTTGCATCTGTTAACCATATCGATAAACTCCTCGCGTGTTCCGGATCTACTCTCCAGCTTATAGCTGACCGGTTGATAGCGTACCCACCACGGCAGATCGTTGTCCTTGTAGATGATCACGTGCTCGTTTGGTGGCGATATCTGAAATAAATCCACTTTGCACGTGAACTACACGTGAACTCAATTCTACCAATCCTCACTATAAAAATGCTCCCCACTTCGCTCTCATCTTAATTTTTCCCAGCTCCCGATAAAACCCATCTCTTCCCAAGGTCGAGGTTGCTAGTTCCCGGGAATTTAACCCATTCCTGCGGGTAAACTGAGCTAATAGCAGCGCTAACCTGCACAGCACCGTAGCCGTAGTATTGCAGGAAGTTCTCACATTCTCGCGCGATATCGGTCCATTTCCACTCGAAAAGATGCACCATCGTCTGGCGATCGGGTAGTGTTTGGGGTGCATCGAACCTGAAATTAAATTTTTTCCATTTTTCGGCAAATTCAGGCTAAAACCAATTTTCTTCCATTAGCTCGAAAAATTTCCAACATTAAGAGTGAAAAAATTAAAAAATTCCAAAATCTCACTCATGTCCTGGATCGCCACAAGCCGTAGCGACAAGAATCGCCACAAAAAACAGAACCCACCGAGAGGCCATTCTAATTTCCTGAAAAAGAAAACACACTATATTCACCCATGAATTAGCCGCAATTTACCCAGGTCCTGGGCAACAAGAAACGGCACTCTAGGCGAAAGCTTCCTAAAAACTCAACACTACCGAAGATACGGGCAGAACGAAGATACCCGGGCAACGCCAAGATACCCACCCGGACGACAAGCAGCATTTCTGCCCAAATGGCTCAGGGCAGTATGACGGTGGTCTAAACAGCTCACCGGCTTAAATACACACTCTCAGCCAGACCGAAGACTACTTTCTGATTTTTCGTCTCTTCCGAGGAATTTTTAATTTATTCGCTTCGCCAAGACATAATCCCTTAAGCCGATTAAGTCAAAATTCCTTACTTACTAAAGTCTTTGCTCTCTTATCATTCGCTTATCACTATGCTTATCAGCTTATCACCCAAATACGAAGACGCCTTCCCAAAAGATGCCTGCCAATACCTTCTTAATCCTTTCCTGTACTCTTTCCCAAACGGGCAAGAGAACAGACTAACAACTCACTGCATATTTCTGCCTGCTGACATCATCTATTCATCTCCTGAAAAATTCTCACAATCAGCACAAGCGCACAAGCAGCCACAAACCATAACAACATTCAAAAAACACCATGGGAAAATCATCTTCAGTCACCTTTTTTATCGCAACAAAACGTCCAAAAATGTTTACATTCTCACCAAAAATTAAACAATTTATCTTTCCAAAACGCTTTCCATATTTGTAAACAAATCGAATCGAATCAAACGGATCAGCAGCATTCCATTCCAAAGGATTTAAGAAAGATGTTTAATGCTTTATTATTCATTCCTCAAAAATTCGCCATCTTCCTTCCCTCACCCAACAATTAATTTCTCATTTCTGACCCATTCCATACCAACTTCAAGGCAAACCAATGCTAAATCACTTCAAACTTTTACATTCCGTTTGGAATTTTATACGAAATAACGCCAAATTCTCCGCTTCTTTCCACACTGCATGCATCACAAAAGATAGAGACACAGAAAGACAGAGACAAATGTTGAGATGGAGACGAAAAAAAAGAAAAAAACACAAAATACGAAAAAAAGAAAAATATAAAAAATGATATAACTAAATGACCTTGATGAACCATTCACCTACTACAAGCTCTATCTCATATCTCTCATAAACTCGTCCATTTGTGACTGATTCAATAACATTTGTGACTGTTCAAATAACATAAATAAATCAAATATGTAAGATTTATACTTAATTACCTTTTCAAAAACCAAATTTTTTTCATTCCATCTTCAAAAAATTTTCTGCTGTCGATGCGAAATTGCGTACGCAGTCGATTCGATGCATGATCTCTTATAAACCCAGACGATTGATAACACAACAATGCACGCACTCGATAACGACGTTTCGTTCTTTCAGATAATCCTCTTAAAAGATTAAAATATGACAAAATGAATTGTCGGAGCATTTATCAAAAAACAAAAAGAAAAATTCTTCAATAGACACGAAAGTTTCATAAATGATATTTGATGGGCAGTGCGAACCGAAACGAATTTTCAGGGTCTAAGACAATTTCGACCCGGACAGCTGGTCCCCAATGCGAACCAGAACGAATTTCGCTAACAGACACCCCGGAACCAAACGTCCGGGTCGCAAAATGTCGTTGGCCCTCAAAATTTAGCGTCTCAAAAAAGAAATCTTCAAAAAAAGAAATTTATTTTTATTTGTTGTTTGATCACTAAAACGTCATGCCATTACTCATCCGTCCTTCCATTCGTCGTCATACCTTTTCTATCTCTCACGTATCGATTATTAATATTATTATCATTATTATTACAGTACTATTAATATCATTATTATTGTTAACATTATTTATTATTATTATATTACTATTATTTATTATTACTATTACAGATCTCAACATTATGAAAAGTCTCCAATCCGTCTTAAAACTAATCAATAAAAAATCTCTTAGCTTGCCTCAACGCGTCACTAAATGGCGATCGCTTTCGTTTTCAGGTGCCACCAATTTAATGGGTATTATTTATTATTATTAATTATTAGTATTTATGATAATAATATTTTTAATATATATAATAATGTTATTCCACAGAATCACCACACACCACCTCAAAACGCGCATTTTGCTCACTATCGGATCGCCCAAATGAACTGTCGAAATTCGAGGATTTCGATGTGGAAAAATGCTTCGAGATGGAACGAATAGGCGATAATGTTTTTCGGTATTTTTTTAAATTTAAATTTTTCCCCAAATCTACGTCAAAATGTTCCCAATTTCAGGTCAACCTATCTCCGATCAGGTTCACCACGATCTCCAGCCGTGTATGGTGGTCTGCTGTTCGCTCAAGCTCTAGCTGCAGCCGAGGAGACCGTCTCGGAACGCCTGCGAGTGCATTCCATACATTCGATGTTCATTCTAGCAGGTCTCTACGCGTAAAAATTCCCAATTCTCGAAAAATCACCAAAACCAGATTATTCCTCACATATTTCTTCACAACAATCACAAATGCTTCAGCCGGTATCTCGAAACCAATCGATTACTTCGTCAAAACACTTCGTGACGGGCGCAGTTTCTGTACCCGCTGGGTGGAGGCTAAACAACGCGGTCATATTGTTTTCACGTGTCAAATCTCTTTCCATTCGGTTGGTCCTACATAGAAAATTACCCAGCCAATTAAGTAATCTCATCAGTTACCCAAAAAACTACCCATACCCGAAAATTCAGCCCGAAGAAGCAGCTATGAAGCACCAAGCCAAAATGCCCGAAGTGGCTCCGCCTGAGCACTGCCCGGAGCTATACGACGGAGCTGAACAGCTCCTGGAACAAGCCGCCCAGGGCCACTATCAGATCAACCCAGTACGAGAAGAGCGTTTGCGACAACGTATTAAAGATAAATTCAAAGTTGGGGCACCACTTTTCGAGGTAAATATCAACTTTCTAACTTGCAAAGAAAGGGGAAAGTCCAAAAAATGTGAAAAAGTTCGAAATTTCAATCAAATTTTTGGAATTTTCAGATGCGGCCAACAGATTTGGAGGAATTTCTGGCGTTGAAGATGTCACCAGAACCAAATAAGTCGTTTGTTTGGGTCAAAAGTGTGCCAAAATTACGTGNTACCAAAATCAGATTATTCTTCACATATTTCTTCACAACATTCACAAATGCTTCAGCCGGTATCTCGAAACCAATCGAT